ATATTTTTAGTAGCATATGTACATACAGGCATTGTAATTTTACTGGTATCTAGTAATCCTACAATACGTAGATTAAATTTACAATAACCTGTAATAATCTATGGCTAATTCAATAGTAAATTCATAAACGAAACTTGAAATTTAATTTGCTGAAAGGTATCTGTGAAAGAACAAATCATATGCTCGTATATATATATTATTTAATCACGTTATTAGTGCATATTGAATGTCATAAGTCGTAAGTATAGTCCCCATGGAAATATTATATATATTTTGAATATGTTTCTCATTTTATATTTCAAGATCCTAAACTCAGCTAACGACCCAGTGTCGAGTTTTCTTGAAATATTAAATTTTTTTTACTCTAGAAAACTTTCCGATTGTTTCAAGGCTCACGTTGTACAATTTTGAACTGCTAACTGTATATAGTTTTTTGTATTACTAATAATCTCGAGCTGCCAATTATTCCTTATAAATTTTAAGTATATTTTACGTATACTTTTATTATATTCAAAATACATAAACAAAATAATCTGGATGTATTTTCATTACATATATATATATATGAATAACGCTACTTATATTTGTAATTTATACTGAGTATATTTTTATCTTATACTTCAGTAAAATTTCAGTTTTTTTTTTTTTTTTTAGTATTCGGAAATCAGAAATCTAACGTTTTTTATTCAATTTGTTTTCTAACTCAAGAAAAATTCAAGGCACATATGTATACGTTTAAGAAAAAAAACAACCCTGTGAAAACTGAATTTTATGACCCTGGGTGCTTTGAGTCAGTAAAAGAGTTCTTTATTTTATAATGTAGAAATGCTAGTCCTACTGAGTTATGTTTCTTAAATTTTTTCAACTAAATGCCATATGTATTTTTAACAAAAATTTTGTCAGTCTACGACAAATCCTTGATGCGTTAAAACGTTTTTGTTAGAGTAATTTTTCGAATAATTTTTATTAAAAATTTTTTGAAGTATTTGTGAAAGTTGTTATAGACAAAGTATATATATGTTTATGCATATAGAGTGATTAATTCGTGTATGAGTCACCACAAAAAAAGTATATTTACGGTAAGTATATATTAAATAACTGTTCAATGTAAACAATATTCTCATATATTCTGTTAAAGTATATATCTGCATTTTCATGTGCTTTGCAAACTATAGCAAAAGCTGAATCTTCCCACTTTTTGAACAAAGCTCAAGACTTAGGTAGTCCGATTTGAGTTAGTCGTTCATTTTGAAGCAAGCATCAAAAACTAAAGGTTCAATTTCAATTAGAATTATATTTGTGTCCTCAGTTACTTCCTGCAGAATTATAAGTAAGTTTTTGCTAAACTGATTATTTTTTATCATTTATTAATTTTTTTTTACTTCAATACTGTTTAAAAAATGCAAGAAGAAATATCATGTGAAAAATTTGATATGGGTTATTCGAATAAATTTATAAAAAGTATTATAAAATTGATATTTAAATTCTTAAGTTTATAATTAACTAACTTAATAGCAAATGTTTCTATTTTTTTAACTTTTAAAATTGAGAAAATTTATAATAAATCTAAATATATCAACAAATGACAATTTTGTTTTTTAAATTATTAAAAAGTATTCTAATTCAAAAACACAGAAAATAATGGTTATATTTCAGAATGAATATATAATAATAATTGTCGTAGTATTTTATAAGTTGAAAATTGTGAAGTTTCCGAAGACTGTCATTTCTAGTCATATAAAAATTTTCCAAAAAATAATTACTCAAAAAATTTCTATTCTTTAATTACATAAATAACTAAAATAGAAAATGTTCATAAGTCGTATATATAGTTATCATTGGAACAATTTTATTTTTTTTTCTCATAGTTGATAAATTATTTTTGAACATTATTGTCAACTATAAATATTTGAAAGAAAAAATAATAGAAACATTCATTTCGTTATTTTTTTACAAAATTAAATTATTTATATCAATGTTTTTTCTACATATAATATTTTGCCATTGCCGCTGTCTGGTATACCTAAGTAATTCCCAAAAAGGTCAGACGTAGTGTCTAGAAACAGGTCATGAAAAAGATTCACAAACAAAAATGGGCCCTCAATTCAATGAGGTACTTAGAGTATTTAAATGAAAATCTAAATATTTAACAATAGCTTCTTTATAACAGGATTATTCGGGTTTTGTCTAGGTTTTTCCCGGTGTAATTATATCTTGTAAAACAAATAATGTTATCTTTGTCGAATCTTGTAAAATTCAGACTTAGTATTGTAAATCCAATTAACTAAAGACACTCTAATACTTAAAAATTTATTAATGAGAAAAATTAGGTTATTAAGATATATTTTTCACTCATAATTCTGTCTGTGTTGCCTTAGTACTTTCTTTAAAATGAGCGACTCAAAAAAATGTTTTATGCTTATTCTCATTATAATAACTATAGATGCTTATATAGTGACTATTGTATTTTTCAGGAACTCTCACAGTCTACTAACATTTAATTCATTTAATGTGTATTATTGGTATTATAATGTCTTACTATATTCATTATATTAACTTCGTCTCCTACTGTTAAAATTATTTTCCACTCAATTATCAAAGTTTCCTAATTTTAGTTGAATATTCGTAAAGTTCTAAAATAATATTTACTTATATTGAGCTTTAAAAATGGTGTTTTACTGTTCTCAATGTACTTATTCTAGTGCAGAAATCAAACGGTATATTAAGCATTTAAAAATTCATCCCATTTTAACGGGACAATTTATTTGTGGATATAATCATTGCGGTGCAACATTTAGATTTGAAAACTCTCTTAGAAGTCATATTAATCGATCTCATAATTTTACACGTGAAGAAGCAGGTAGTTTAGAGTCAAATAATAAGCAAAAACTTGAGCTCCTAGAATTGAAATGTAATGTTCTTTATTGCACACAGAAATTTGATGATATTAAAAAATTTAAAACACACTTAAATAATCATATTAAAGACGGTGTAGCTGTTCAATGTTATTTTCCGGAATGTAATAAAACTTACAGAAAAGTCAACTCATTGTCATCTCATATATCTATAAACCATAACGAGAAAGAACTCAAATTTCCGTCATCTGAATCTGGATCATCTGTATCTGTTTGTCGATGTAAGTTTACTCTTTTGTTCATACAATCTTAAAAAACGTCTTTTAATTATCGTATAAAATACTAATATGTTAATTTAATGTTTTAGGAAGAATTATCCGATGATGAGATCTGCGAAAAAGCTCCATTAGTCACCCCGATTCTCATTATTCGAGGTATGATATTATGTAATATATTTTTTTTAATAATTAAATGCAAGCTATTTTATCATTTGTTACTTTTTTTTTAGGAAATAATTTACACGATTCAGCCAATAAATACGATGTTATAATCGAAAAACAAAAATCCGTTTCCGTGGAGTCATTTCAAAATGGAATTTTAGTTACTTTTCTAATGTATTATGTATTTGCTTTAGAATATCCTAAAAGTATCGAAGGAACATTGGAAACAATTCAAAGGTAAATTTAATGTAAATTCTACCAGGTTAAATGACTTAATTTCCACTATTTTAAAGGCTAATTAATATTTTATAAATTTTTCAGATTGTTCCTTGAAATCTGCCCCCAAGAAGGGACGAAGCGCGCCAGCAAAACCAAAAAAGCGACTGCCATACATCCAAAAGTGTTATCTTTAACTGACAACATTGGAATATACACGGATTCAGATTAATAATTTTAAATTATTTTTATAATAAATGACAATAAAAAAGAAAATTTCAATAAAATATATAATAAAGCAAACAATACGACTAATCTTTTTCAAAAAATCCATGTCACATTATTTTAAAATAAATCAAAATGTCTTTTATGATATTCCAATGCTATTATACTAAAATTTCTAATTTGATTTATAAAAAATATTTGGTAAAATTGCTAGATTATTTTTGTAAAATTACAATGTCACTATTGTAATATTCCAATTGTACTGTACCGAAATTCCCAATTAAATTTGTGGAAAATATTTAGTAAACTTACTACATTTCTATTGTAGAATAACAGTAAAAATATACCAAAATTCAAAATCTAATTTCTACAAAATAATTGGTAGAATCACCATATTGTTATTGTAAAATTCCAATATCAGGATATAGTAAAATTACAATATTAGTATACTAAGATTCCTAATTTAACTTGTAGAAAAAATACTGTAAAATTACTATATTATTCCCTTGTAAAATGTATTGGAAAAATACTATATTACTATGGTAATTTTACAAATGCATACCTGAATAATACTTTCTATTTTTTTATTGTGAAGTTAAAACAAAAAGTTTTAACAGTGTTGTTAAGTTGATGGCGGCTGGCTTTTACGTCTGCAAAAGGAATAAAGAAGTTGTTTCAGGAAGTGAATTAAGAAATTTTAGAGTTCAATGTGATACAGAAGTTGAAGTCATGAAGAATATGTACGCAGGAATGATTAAGTATCGCTTGGAGAAAGCTGGTCAACGAAGAATATTGTTCAATCAAGTTGAAGATATTCTCTATGAAATTTTTTCGAGATATCTTCCTGCTACTTTTATTCATGGAATGTTTTTCTATTTTAGTAACTTTGAATTGAGTAAATTGGTGGAAATTGAGTAAGCGAAAGATAAGTTTTTTATTGGTCATTCAATTTAATTTATTATTGATTTCTTTATAATAGTTTATAAATTTTTAGTTTAACTTTTGATTTATATATGCTTGTAATAATTTTGTATTTTTATTCATTGAATTTGATACTTTTCTGATAATAAAATAAAGAAGTTATAGAAGAATCATTTTTTATTTATTATTGTAATATTGAATTTTTATAATTATTAATCCAATTGTTTAATTTCAAAGTATGTGAAAATAATAAAGCAGAGAATTTACCTGAAAATAATATTAATAATGATAAATATATATATATTCTATAGAAAATTAAGATTTTATGAAAATGTGTATGTGTTTTTTTTTTCAGATAGGAATACAAAATTTAAGAAATACTTGTTTTTGTTCTTATATCAAGTTTTATGAATAAAAAAATGTTTCTCAATTTTAGAACTTTTTTGTAATTCTAAATAAATGTTTTCATCAACTTTATTTTTAATAAATTAATCACTCAGATTTTCGGAAACTAGAAAAATTTTTTTAAATGCATCAATAGGGTAAAAGACCCCATTAGTGGCGGGGACCCCATTACTGACACTTTCTTTGATTTTAATACTTATTTAATTAATTAAATCATTAATTTCAATAATGAATGTATTATTTTTAATCTTTAAGATCGTTAGATAAAAAAAATTTTTAATTTTTATTCCAAGTAGAACATTTTTTCATTGAAAGAAAAAGTGCCACTAATAGGAGTTAAAGGTGCCATTAATGGGGTCTTTTACCTTAGTAGATATATTGAAAAAAGACGAATTTTTGTAGTAAATTTAAAGTTTCTTAAAAAAATTTTTAAATATTTTATAAATAAAATAACCATAGCAATAATAACTTTTATGAGAATTTTATTAATTTTTGAAAAATACATTGAATTTTATATACCATCAATTCTTTTGTCTCGATAATAAGATTTTAAAATATTGTGAATTTTTCGAAAAATTTGGAAAATTATTTAATAATAATAATGATTATAAATGAAAATTAAATCAGCCGACATCTGGAAATTTTTATAATTTTTCTTATTGAAAAAATTATTTAAATAAAATTAAAAAGAAAATTTGGACTTGTACAAAATTTGAATAGTTCTGTGGAATTTTTTAAAAATACTTTTTTACTCATAATTGTTATAATTTTTAGTGATTCAAAAAATGAATTAACATTTAATGTTATACAAGTTAATTATTTAAACTATGTAGTTCTGTGCATTTTTTCAAAATTCTTTTTTACTCATAATTGTTAGTGATTCAAAAAATTAAGAATTGTCAAATGTCTTCTAACTTTAGTATCAATGCTCCGATCACGTAGAAATTTTAACATATTACTTGAAGAGATATATTGGCTTTCAAAAAATTAAAAAAAAAAATAATTTTTTCAAAAGTTACAAACCATAAGTGTCAAAAAAAAATACTAAATTTTTACAAATGAAATTTGTTTTTTATTTTTTTTTTGTAACAATTTGTTTAATAAAAAAATTTATAAAAATTTTTAATCGCTAATAATTTTAATTACAAAATTTATTCTGATCATAATCTGTCACAGAAAATTTTTTCTGTGACAGATTCTGCCGTACAAGTTAATAATTCAAACTGCGGAAAAAAAAAACGTCAACGCCTAATGAGCCTCCTTTCTTTTGTTGTTGGGTTTGCATTGAAATTTAAAACTGTATTTTCACCATCGGCCTAAAAATAGGCTGTTAAGGTCGAAATCACAGTTTTAAAGCTGTATTTTGGGCCTAACCAGCCTACATCGAGGGTCTGTAGGTTGATCTATCTTTTTATTTTTTAGAACATAGAATTTTTTTATAATAGAAAAAATTTTATACGTAAAAAACTAACTTAAAAAATTTTTAACTTTTATCTTTGCAAAAAATTTTTTTAGTGTAGAGTTGAAATAAAAATTATGACTATTGTAATTAATGCAACATAGGTTTTTGGTTATAAGCTTAACTTGAGCTTCAATATAGTTCGTGGAATTGATTCTATTGTTTATTATTGTTTTATGCTTTAATGAAGTTTTAAATGCATTCTAATTTGCTTTGTCATTTAGTATTACATTACAATTTTCCTGGGTCAAAAAATTTAGTCTGTTTTATGATTAATAAAATTTTTTAATATTTTTCATTCAATTTAATTTTATTATGTGTATCTATTTTATATGAGAATTTAATCTGTTTTTGCCCAAATGTTGAGCTATGATAAATAAATATGACAGATATGTAAGGTTATAATCGACGTTCAGTTTATAAAACAAGAGAGAGCATGATTATATTTTTAATTAATTTAATTTTTCAAATTAATGCGACTTCTAATTTTTAATGAGATACTTTTAAGTCCAAAAAATTATGTCACCATCTTAGTCGACTTTTGGCCTTTGAACATTTAGAGTGAAAATTGTAGATCAAAAACAGTATAAGATTTCGTATTGAATTTGAAAACAATATATAAAGTCCATCTACAAATTAACTCGACTAAAAACCGATCAAACTTTTAAAACTTTTTAGTTTCATTAGATTAAAAACAGCATAAAATATTCATAGTTGCTCAATTATTTTACTAAAAGGTTATTTAGACTTAAAACAGATCAAAAATAATTTTAATAGTAGATGAAATACCGATAAAAATGTTTTTTAAAGTTCAAATACAGATCAATAAGTTCAAATGCAGATCATTTAGCTTAAAATCAGTTTAAATTTTTCGACTCGGGTTTATTTCCAGGAATGAATACTTGCTTGTTTGTTGAAAATTTAACCGGGTTATGATCTGAGTCAAGATAGTCTAAGGACTCGGGTTTAGTAATTTGTACATCTTTTGTTATGGATATATAATATCTATAGTCAAGGAGAGGGTATAATTAGTTTGTATTCTTGTAGGTGCATCAGGAAATTTAATGTCCCAATGATTTGTTTGTACGCAATAGTACAATATTTTACCACTTATATCATTAGTGTTTTTAAAATGCCATAAAGCATCTTTGGAATTGAAATCGCCTGCTAAGATAGTTTTATTGTTAAGTTTAAGTAGGTAATCTAAATACTTGGTATTGATATTAATGTTCGGGGGATTATAGCATGAAACTACTAATATATTGCCAGGAATTTTAATCGCAACGGCTTTCAGTGACTCTGGATTAGTTGGCACGCAAAAGTATGTGGGATTGTTTTTTTGATGAAGATAGCTACTCCGCCGGAAGCGGTGTTGTTTGGTCTGTCCCTCCTATATAGCATGTAAAATTTGAGATAATATACCCGGCCTGGTTAAAAAGGAGAATTAAAAAGAATTAAAAATCGAATGCATCCTTTTTAATTCTCCTCAGAGAATTAATCGGGATTAAAAAGAATTCGGGGTTACAAGTTTTTTATTCTATTTAATCCTACATGGAGAATTAAATAGTATTAAATAGCTTTGCAAATAAGAGACATTCAATACTTTTTAATTCTCCGCAGAGAATTAGATAGTATTAGAAAGTAATCACATTTATAAATTTCCAGTACGCAAAATTAATTGCATCTTTTTTAATTCTCTGCAGAGAATTGAATAGAATTAAAAAGAATTCAGAATTATAAGCTTTTTATTCTATTCATTCCCCCTTGAAGAATATTAAAAAAGATTCAAAGTGAAGACTTTAATATTTGTCTGAAGAAAATTAAATAGTATTATTAAAAAGAATTCATATTTGAAAATTGTCAATACTTTTTAATTCTCTGCAGAGAATCAAAAAGAATTTAGCATTATAAGTTTTCTATTCTATTTAATCCTTCATAGAAAGTTAAATAGTATTAAGAACAATTCATATTTAGAAAATTTAAATACTTTTTAATTCTCTGCCAAGTATTAAATAGAATCAAAATGAATTCAGCATTATAAGCTTTTTATTCTATTCAATCCTTCATGAATGATTAAATAAGATTTAAAATTGAAGACTTTTAATAATACCGAATTCTCTATAGAGAATCAAATAAAATCACGAAGAATTCAAATTATTTTGATTTTTACTTTTTTTTCGGAATTTTTTAAAGAAGGTGGAGAGGGGATAAGGTTTTACATCACATTCACATTTATTCTTCTTAAGTTTTTAGCGCTTGCCTAAAAATTAAGTTTAGAAAAATGCCTATCGCTCTAACTGAGATACGAACCGTATATATACCGTATGTATAGGATTAGGTGTATACACCTAACGCACGCAAGATTATAACAAGGCTCACAGGCCAGTTAATGTTTCATTGGTTTTTTTTATTATTTATTTTCCAATGTTGTAGTACTTTTTATTGATAACAGTAGACTCAATGCAATGTCATCAGATAACTTTATTTAAGCTAAAATTTTTTTTTTTTAATTACGGATATTGGAGAGATGCTTTAATTATGAAGACAACAAATTACAAATACAGTGTCTAAGTTCTTTTAAGTTTATTATTACTTATATATGTAAAATGTAAAATGACTAAATAAATAAACAACTTTTTCGAACCAAAAAAAAAAAAAAAAAGGTTTTATTGGTTTTTTTAAATTAAATTAAATTTTTTTTTACCACGGCTCTAAAAGATACTAATAATAACTATAATAATATTTATAAATGACACTGAAATTTTAATATATTGTAATTTGCTAGATTAATAGCTAGCTTCCAAGAATCGCCCCAAGAGAGAAACAAAAATCTCAAATTTATAGTTTAACAATCATCACATTTGCAATTTTCATGTTCAAGCAGAAAAAAAATTATTTATTTATTTATTTATTTATTTTACTTATATATGTAAAATGTAAAATGACTAAATAAATAAACAACTTTTTCGAACCAAAAAAAAAAAAAAAAAAAGGTTTTATTGGTTTTTTTAAATTAAATTAAATTTTTTTTTACCACGGCTCTAAAAGATACTAATAATAACTATAATAATATTTATAAATGACACTGAAATTTTAATATATTGTAATTTGCTAGATTAATAGCTAGCTTCCAAGAATCGCCCCAAGAGAGAAACAAAAATCTCAAATTTATAGTTTAACAATCATCACATTTGCAATTTTCATGTTCAAGCAGAAAAAAAATTATTTATTTATTTATTTATTTATTTATTTATTTATTTATTTATTTATTTATTTATTAAAATCCCAACAGCCTACTGGCCAATTACAGGAACACTATATAGTGCAAGTACTGTACATTATTAATTAACGGTTGCATAACTAATGGAAAAATTGTGAAAAATTATGAAAAATCATCTATCAGAGAGAAGTGATTATAATTGGGAACCAAAAGTAAATCAAAACGGATAGAAAAATTTTTGATGGTGGGAGACGTTATCTGCATTGTGATTGGTTAGTTGATTACTTCAATGTAACTATATAAAGTATACTTTTCTTTTGAGTTTAGTCGTAAGCAGTGAGCCAATAGAATTTCGTTTACCCCCTCTACATCGTTTAACGAATTTGGATTGGCTTGCCGGCTTCATCGAAAAAATCAGGCTCCAAAGTATATTAAGGGTATTTAAAAATTCCAAGTAAAGTTATTCTGGAAATAGATCTCGAGTAATCAGTGCAGCGATAATTCATACTGTTCTTTCTTTGGGAATTGCTTGAAATTTAACTTAATAAAAATGAGTTCGCAAGGATTAGAAAAATATATCATGAAATATAATTTTGCTTACTGTGGTGAATCGTCCAAATATCAAAAAATAAGTAAAGTTGGTCAAGGCACCTTTGGAGAAGTGTTCAAGGCTAGAGACACCACTGATGCAAAAATTGTTGCTATGAAGAAAATTATCATTGAGGATCAAACAGAAGGGTTCCCTATCACTGCCTTGAGGGAAATACGGATCTTTCAGTCACTCAAACATGAAAATGTAGTGAAACTAATTGAGATTTGTCACACCAAAGGCACTCAATCCACACGCTATCTTCCCACATATTATCTCGTACTTGAGTTCTGTGATTATGATCTTGCTAAGTTGATCTCCAATACTAAGTTAACATTTCGTTTTAGTGATATCAAAACAATAATGCAGCAATTATTACATGGATTATATTACATTCATAGTAATAATATTTTACACAGAGATATAAAACCAGCAAATATTCTAATAACTAAAAATGGTGTTCTAAAATTAGCTGATTTTGGGTTGTCAAGAGCGTTTAGTGCAAGTAAATCTGACAAAGAAAATCGTTATACCAATCGTGTAGTTACAATTTGGTACAGGCCACCAGAGTTACTTCTAGGAGATAGAAATTATGGACCTCCCATTGATTTGTGGGGCGCGGGGTGTATAATGGCTGAAATGTGGACCAAATCTCCGATTATGCAAGGTAACTCTGAACAACAACAGCTGACATTGATATCGAAATTCTGCGGTTTAATTACAACAGAAGTATGGCCAAGTGTTAAAAGTCTTGATTTATTTAATAAAATTGATTTACCCAAAGTACAACAAAAAAGAGGCATAGAAAGATTAAAGACATATATCAAGGATGCATTCGCTTGTGATTTATTGGAAAAACTTTTGGTTCTTGATCCTAGTAAGAGATACGACGCCGATTCGGCGTTAGACCATGACTTCTTCTATACCGATCCACTGCCTTCTGACTTGGGTAAAATATTGACTCAACACTCGCAGAGTACTTTGGAATCCCACACATTATCACGAAGACCAGCAAGACACATGCAGCATCCTTACCATCCAATATCCACTGGTACGACTAGACCTACTGTCAGCAGAACTTATGATGGTTATCAAGATCGAATTTACTGAAGTAATTTACATATAGCATCATGTTATTTATAATTTATTGATATGTTTTTATTCCTTTCCCCTAACAAAAAAAAAATGGCCCTTTTCAGGGCCACCAAATTTTTAAACACGTAAAAAAACTTTCTTTTCATATTTTTCTTTAATATCAATTTGCTATAGGTCATCAATTATTATTAATCATAAGGTCAAAATACTTTTATTGAGAAAATCTTCACACAAGAACATATATTCTTAATAATTATTGAAAATATATATTCTTGTGTGAAGAATTGGATAAAATTGATTATATAGGCTTTTTTAATTTAAAAGTTTAACTGATACCGAAATCAACTGTCGTATAAAATTTTATTAGTTTTATTTAATGAAAAAATTAGTTTTAAAAATTTATTTTTAAAAATGTACACTCATAGATTTTTATATTTTTTGCGTATGGAATTTTTTTGTCACAGTTTATTAAAAACAAATCCTATAAATTACCAAATGTCTGTCAGATTAAGTATCATAAATTTAATATAATAAACATTTGACGTGGGCAGTTAAATGAATCACGATACTTTGAAAAAAAATTTCTTTAGAAAAAAATAACCCATGTTATAATAAGAAATTAATTTGTTGAGAATTTTCAACACTTTTACTTCTCAGCTGAAGTAATAAAATTTTTTTTTACAATAACTTTCTTGTGGAGAAAAAGTTTTTTAGATTTGAAAAAAAAAAAAAAAAAAAAAAAACAGTTTTAGATTATTAACTGATAATTTTTCATCTAAAATTTATTTTTTCCAAATTTAGAAAACTTTTTTTTCAACAAGAAATTTACTGGTTACTGGGAAAAAAATTTTGATTTCTTCAGTTAAGAAATAAAATTGCTGAAAATCGTCAACAAATTAATTTCTAATTACTACAATGGCCATTTTTTTCAGAAGAAATTTTTTCTCTTAAATTCGTTTTATTATTGTCTCATAAATTCTATAAAATTTTGACGTATCAAAGGATCAAGAACGCTTGAAGATGGTTAATTATCGTTATTTTTTGAATAAACGATCACGTTCTGCGAAAAATAATAAAAAGTTATTAAAAAAAATCCACAGACTTCTTTTCTTATTGAATTTTATTAGCAAATTCCAAATAAGTTAGCAGCCTGAAAGTTAAAAATTGTTTAGTTTATTATAATAAGAGCATAAGCTATTTGTAAATCTAGAAAATTGTTTTTACACATTTTTTTTAGCTAAATTATCTGAGAAAAAATTCTCTGTAGAGTGAAAAAAATGACATTCGACAAATAGTACTTTATTAAAAAAATATTTCACATTTGTATAATTAACTTTAATAAAACACTAAGATTAATTAGCAAAATAAATTTAAAATTAGCGCGCAAATCGTTGGCAATAGGTCAAAAATTAAAAATAAATAAATTTTTTTACTTATTTCAAGGTTGGTATCCGTGTGCTAATATTTTTATTTTTGTCTCGTTACAAGAGTCTCTAGAAAGAAATAAACATTAATTTAACATAAAAAAATCAATGGACAATTTAAAATGTATTATTTAAAAGAAAGTGAAATAATTAATATTAAAATATAAAAAGAAAGATAAATGTCTCAATTATTTAATATATTTATAAAATCAGTGAACATAACCTTATAAATTGAAAGTTAAAAGTATAAAAATTTTCTTAAAAAAATTAACTTATCACAAAATAATTAATCAATTAATTAATTGTTAATAATTGCAGATAAAAAAGATGTCTAAAACAAATAAATCGACGTATAAATTCAAGCCGTTCGTGTTTTCACAAAACGAACCAGCATCAAAAGAAAAACCACGAGCGAGGAGTGGACATCGAATTGTTTGTGATGAAAAATATTTATATTCATACGGGGGTTATAACCCGTGTATACGTGACGACGATCCAGAGTTATCTAACGACGAGATATGGCGAGAGAGCAAACCGCTGTTCAAAGAGTTATGGCGATTCAACTTGACTACACGTAGATGGAAATTACTGCCAGGCCGCAAGAGTCTGCCCAAGGAACTGGCATCAACAGCTGTCATACTTAGATCTAATAAATTAATTATTTACGGTGGAACTGCTGAGCCTTTTGGTGAAAGCTGCAATAATCGATTGTATGTATGTGATTTAAATGACGGTAGCATAATTGAACCTCATGTCACGGGTACATTGCCAGATCCACAGTATGGACAAGCTCTGATTTGTCACAACTCGTATTTATACACGATTGGCGGTACCACTGGTTATGATTACACCTGTGATATTCATAGAATTGATCTGAGAACAGGTTTATGGGAAAGGGTTTATATTTGTACGGGTAGAGATCCTGTTGAGCCTGGTGGACGGTATCGTCATGAGCTAGCCTATGATGGAAAATTAATTTATGTTCTTGGCGGTGGTACATCATCTGAATGCTTTGGATTTACGGTATGTTTGTTATCCTATCCATTGATGTTATGAAAATTAAATTAACAGACTGATCATTTAGAAAAATTTTTTATTGCAAAAAAAAAATGTCAAATTTTTTAAAATAAAAAAAATTTTTTTTTTTCAATTGAATAAAAAAAATATAAAAAAAAATCTGCCCTATCCGAGATGAGCGGGAATAATTGCCAAATTGATTGAAGTTTTTTTTTGAGAAAAAAAAAATAAAAAAAAAGTGATGAACTTTGAAAAAATAATGATTTTGCTCAAAAAAAAAAAACAGATTGTTTTTATAGAATTGATCATATTTTATTTTTTTTGTGTACTTTTTCGAAAAGTTCATTCAAAAACAAAAATTAAAAAAAAAAAGGTACTCAAAGTTAAATGTCTGAAAAAGTTATGGCTATTTGAAAATAAAAAAGCCATTTTTTTTTTAATTCATAACTTTTTTTGGGTTGGATAAAAAAATTTGAAATAATTCTCAAAAATGTCTTTCAAAGGGTAGAAAAGAATAGAAAAGTTTCAGCTAAATCTAAAGGGGTCGAGTTCAAAAGTGGTCAATTTGGCATGGAATACCCCATATGTAGTATAACTGACCTTGTCATCAGGATATCTGTAAAAGTTTTCAACCGATCTTGATGAAACTTAGTACACATATTCTTTGGGTAATTACCTTGAACCAATTCGGAAATGAGCAAAATCGGTCATTTAGTTTAGAAATGGCAGCCATTTAAAATTTTCAATATAGTTAAAATCACGCTTTCGGTTACTTCATTGATGTATAACTTTTGATTAAAAAGAGATAGCTGATTTTTAAAAAATTCATGTGATAGCTCATAAAATTGCCTTCAGTTTGACGTTTATAACATTGACTTTTTGTCAATTTTTAGTTATTTTATGAAAGTTAAGAGGTCTATTGAACCATTTTCAGGCAATGTGTAGTACAACCGACTAATGAATGTTATTTTATCAAGAATCCTCAACAGATCCTAATGAAATTTGGTACACAGATTCCTTAGATAATTAGCTCGCATGAGTCCTCGGATGGACGAAATCAGTAAATTAGTTTTGAAGTAGTAGCTTCAAAATTATCAAAATAGTGAAAATCACGTTTTTTTTGTGGCTTCATTGATGAATAACTTTCGATTGAAAAAAGATAGTTAATTTTCGAAAAATTCATGGGAAAGCTCATGAAATTGCCTTTGATTTGATGCACATAACATTGACTTTTTTTTCTTTGTTACCTTCGATATTATAACTAAAATTAAATATTTTTTATTAACTTATTTTTTTTTTTTTACTTAATGATCAAATATTCATATCACCGTGAATCTAGTAGACATAACGATTGATCATTCATTATTAAAAAGTCATATATAGATTTTGCTCATCTTCGAACTAGTCCAAGATAATTATCCAAATAGTAATTACACCAAGAAAAATTTTGCAGAACTTCTTTATTGTAATTAATTTAAAAATTTGGTTTTCAACAAATTATAATAGCGAAAATAAAGAGAATTTTATGTGAAATGAAATTCACATCGGTCTATTTCGGGTGAAGCCGAATGGCATTTTATTTTATTTATAACTAAATTATTAATGAGAAAACTAAAAATTTTTTAATGTCTGCTAATTTTGATATCATATTGATTTTTATTGTTTAAAATTTTTATTATCACTTATTAATAAAATATATTTTATTACAGGAAATTCCTGCATTTGATTTAGAAAAAAATTGTTGGCTAAGACTACAAACTTATGGCGATTTAAATAACAATCCATGGATTCCACATGCTCGACGCTGCCATGGCTGTGTTCAATATGTCGATCAACTAACTGGTGACATAAATGTTGTTATCTCCGGAGGTTACACTGGTCCTCAAGTATTCAATGATGTCTGGAGACTTAATTTAAGACGATTACAATGGACTTGTCTGAAGAGATTTGGGACTGAATTACCGCGACCGGTTTACTTCCATTCGGCAGCTCTTACTCCTGCGGGACAAATGTATATTTTTGGAGGAATTGTACAAAATGGATCACGGGTACTTAATTTTACTTTCAAATTATTCATTTTATTAATTGAATTTCATTATTAATTGTTAATTTTTTATTTTTTTAGGGGTTGAGAACTCAGCATGTGAGATCAGTCTGGCTGGTTGTTCCAAAACTCACAGAAATATGCTGGGAAGCAGTTAATTATTATTTCAAAAATTTAAGAACTAAATCCAAAGATGAACTGACGAATCTCGGGATCCCCTTGAAGTTCATACAACGCTTAGATATTATTGATTAACCATAATTTTTTTTTAACATTTTCAAAATAACTTCACTTGATAAATTCAGTATTTATTACTGAATTATTATTATTGTTTATCAAAATGTGATTTTCTAAGTTATTGATTTATTTTTAGTGTATCGATAACAGTAATAGCTACAAAAAAATTATTAAGTCACATCGCATTAAAAATTTACATTTTTTTTTTTTTTTTTTATATATAATTGAGTTTGTTTAATACTAATGAATTTCCTGCTGCATTCAGCATTGATTATTAAAAATCTAAATAAAATTTTATTTTATTTTATTTGGCGAGTAAATTGTAAAAATATTGCATGTCTTAAGCGTGAGCGTGGGTATGCTCTACTCTCGCTTAAAATTTATGTTTATCATTAATGAATTTTTATAAAATCAACCAAAAGACCAGCTTACGCTTTATTTATGCAAATTTTTTTTTAAATAACTATTTTCTTTTTTTATAATATAACAAAAAAAACATTTGTAAATAATATTTTATTTTCGCAAGTGAATAATTATAAAATTTAATAATTGTATCATTTGAATCATCACATTTTAATTAATAAAGTCTATTTGAATAGCTTGAGAATATTTATTCGATTAGTTAAAGATAATTAATTAATTAAATATTTAAAATGTTATTTATATGTAATTCAATAATTAATTCATGTAAATATATATTAATAAAAAATAAAAAAATTTTTGTCTATAAAATATGTTAGTTCCTTCGAGACTCTATGCGCAAACGCCAATAAGCTGACATTTTTTATTTATATAGCAAACTAAAATAACAGAGCCTCAACAATAAACATACTATCGTAATAATATTATATTAAAATGGAATAACATATTTTTTTAATTAAGTTTTAAATTTAGTGAATAATTACTTATTTATTTATTTACTATTATAACCTTAGTAACAATTTCAATTTAATTTTTGTCATGAAATAAAATAAAATTAAAACATAAATTTTGATACAATTTTATAACTTCGTAAATTTTTAACTATTTTTTGTAAAAAATTATGTAAAACTTAAAAAAAAATATGATGCTGAAATTAAAATCTGTCAATTTTTTGGATTAATATTATAATTGAATTATTATAAAAAAATTTTACATATAAAAATTAAAAAAAGTTACAAGTGCAAACTTTTAGAAAATATTTTTTTTTTTTATAATTCATTTGTGATAAAAAAAAAAGAAAGTAAATATAATCAGATGCCGGCTAATTTCAGTATCATAAAAAAATTGTATGGTTGATAAATTATAGAAAACATAATTGTAAATAATTTTGTGTCTATTTTGCAGATAATTAGGGAGCAAAATAATTAAAAAAAAAAAAAATTATTGTTCCAATAAAACAACAGGTAAAGTTGTAAATGCGAATAATTAAATAGATTATGAATATAAATATGTTCTAATTATAAGACATTATTTTAATTAATTAATTTTTTGACAGGAGATGTACAAATTTAAACCCTTTGCATTTGATCAACATGAAATAAAAAGATCAGAAATATTGAGAAGCAAATCCGACACCAAAATAAATTGCGATGACAAGTATTTATACAGTTATTCAACATACAGTGTTGACACACCCGAGGGTCTTGAAGATATTGCCGTGGAGGCATGGAAGTTTCATTTACTAACGCACCGGTGGACTCCGCTACAGAATGTAGAAACTCAATTAGTAGACAATTCTTTTGAAGCTGGTTCCATTTTCGACGATGGTAAGCTGATCTTACTCTTGAGAGCAGAAACTTCACCGCAGTTTTTTTATTTGCTGCACTGGGATTTGAGAATAAATGAACTCAATATCCGTAAGATAAACAGACCGCTTCCAAAGATGGGCTTCGACCCGAAATTTGTCTGCCACAGCTTTCATTTTTATGCCATCGGGAGTCAGAGTAAAGTATTTTTCCAGCGGACTGATGATGCGCCTCATAAATATTTTAATATCTACGATGTCTTAAAAATGGATTTGATAACTAAGAAATGGGAGTTTGTTTATTTGTGTCCTGAAAGCGACCCCTTTGATTGGGAGAAAGACAATCACTACGGCGACATATTTGCATTTGATGGAAAAAAAATTTATGTGCTTGATAGCGATGAATCGTCAGAGGAACCTTTGATATCTCATGTAAGTTTATATAATTTTATTTTAAAACTCAGAAGATTTATAAGACTGTCTTTTTTTATGTTTAGAGAATTTTCGCATTTGACTTGGATTTGAAGCAGTGGGATGAACTACAAGTTAAAGGAGACTTGGGAAATGATACAAGAATTCCTAGAATGCATGGTGGTTTCAGTATCACGCAGTACAGAGACGACAAGGGTGATGTCAATGTAATTCTAACTGGCGGTGAAATTGATGAATATTCATGCAATGAAATGTGGAGACTTAATTTGACGAATTTACAATGGACTTGTCTTAGCAAGTTTGAAGTACTGCCCTATCGTATGAGAAATCACGTCGCAGCTATCACCCCTTTTGGAAAAATGTACTTGTTTGATGGTTTAGTTGAAGATGAAGTAGGAGAGGTATTGATTTTTTACTATAGTGAAATTGAGATAATACTAAAATTACCCGACGTTTTTAATTTTATGATTTTTCTTTTCGATTATTAAATTAGAACTAAAAAATATTTTTGATAAATTGCACTTAAAGTTTTTCAAGTTTTTTTTTACAAATGAAAATTTTTTTTTATTTTTTTGTAATTATTTTTTCAACAAAAAAAAAAATTATAAAAATTTTTAGATGTGGGCTAACTTAATAATTTTTAGAATTTTTTAAATAAACAAATTATAGCAAGAAAAAATGATAATTAATTTAGCCGATATTTAATCATTTTAAAAAATTTTTTTAACAAATAAATTATGGCAAAAAGAATGAGAAAAAAATATTGACATGTTTTAAAAATCCAATTTTTTAAAAATAATTTTTCAGAAAAAATTTGTTTATTAAAAAAAATTATTAAGTGACTGCTAACTTTAATGTCATCATATACATGTAATTTTTTAAAAATAATTTTCTAGACGGTTCTTTTTTCAAGAAAAATCAAAAGTTGTCAAGTGTCTGCTAATTTTAGTGTCATGTTTTTCTATATTTTTTGAAAATTATTTATTTTTTATTAAATATATAGCAAACACGATCAAGCTCATAATTATTTTGATAATTGTTTAGTTTTATGGTGACTTACTTTTTTTCGGATAAAAAATCGAAAACTTAATATTTAAAAATTTATTTTTTAATTATTCTATTTCAGAGCGAATTTATGATTGTGATTATAAAAATTTGTTAACGTAAATTTTTCAAGTTTAAGTCTAACAATCTCTAGTAATTTTTTTTTCATATTATACATGTAGAAATAAATAATTAAAAAAAAGAAAGTTTTCAAAAATGTTAATTTTTTTATTTTCTCAAAAAAAAATTCTTATCCAAAAATTGACATTTAAACAAATTTTTTTTAAATGCTATTTTTATTAAACTCAAAAAAAATATATGTGATTGTTGAAAAATAATTCTAAATATTTTTATGGTGTAAAATATTGTGGATCATAAAAAAGAAAAAACAATACAATATTTTTGAGTTTGATAGGATGTCATTTATTTAAATATTAAAAATCTAATTGTTTTCAATAAGGATGTTTAACATTGATAATATATTTGAGAACTAATTGTGAAATTTTATTTTTCAGGTAGAAAATACCTCAATATTTTCTGCATGGGTCTCAATTCCAAAACTCGAAGAAATAGCTTGGGAAGCAGTACTATTTTATTTCAAAGAAATAAAAGAACGGCCAAAAACTGAATTGATAATTCGCGGGTACCCGGAGAAATTTGTCGAACGTCTTACGAATTAAAAATTTTCCAACTTATATTTTTTACAAAACTATATCAGTATTATATTTATTTATTTATTTTTTATAATATATACTTTATGATGCCAAGACTAGTGGCCTAGACACAAAATAATCGTGATAAAGTAATGGATAATTAATTATATTTACGAGTTTTTATAAAAACTTATCCGAGTCCATTTACTCTAATGATCAAAATTATTTATTATGATATCACCTAATTTAAATTTTCACAAAAATTTTGTTTACAAAATAAAAAGTTATAGTAATTATTTACACGTGGGGTCCACTCACATTTTTTTTATTCTGCTTGTTTTTACGACGCATTTATGATAAAAAATATCGTGAAAGGAAAAAAAAAAAGATTTTGATAGCTTTTTTGCTTTCAAAAGTTGGAAAAAATTTTGGCTCTCATGTTTTTCGATAAAATTTCTATTTTATCTTTTTTTGATGTTTTTGATATAGATTTTTTTGAAAAGTACATAAAAAAACGAACAATTTAAAAAAAAAGTTGAATATTACAATTTTCTGAAAAATTTATAAATTTTTTTAAAAATTAGTTAAAATTGTGATGATCAACTTTTTTTTTTTTAAATTGTTAATTTTTTTATGTATTAAAAAAAAAATATATCAATAAAATCAAATAAAATTTTCGTTCAAAAAAATGAAAATTAAAATGGCCCCACTTGTAAATATTTACCTTTTTTTTTTTTTTATAATTTAAAATTTGTTTTTTT